TGCTTTTCATTTTATTTAATTTTCTTTACTTCTGTTTGGGGGAGAGAAAAAAAGGAAAAAAATATACATAGGGATTGTGTTATTTTTGCAATGAGCAAAATGAAGCTGTTTGATTTATGCTCGCTCACAAGAGATATCATGAAAATGGTACCATGTATTTTGCTGAATGATTTCTTGCAATTGGACATCCAAAAAGCACATTTTAATCTCCATGTATGCTTTGTTATTGTGTCAAATTATGAAGAGCAGGCATGGGAAGCTGCCCGATGAAGAATCCGCTTTTCTGTTAATTTGGATGTGTTAAGCGCGCTTTCAGAAGCCAGAAATATTCTTGTAAAAATAAGATTGTGCAATGGGATTTCTTCCTAGAGCAACAGTCATCTCCAGGGAGTCACCATCCCTGGAGGTGTTCAAGATCCATGGACATGTGGCACTGAGGGACATGGTCAGTGGGCATGGCTGCGTGAGCTGAGGTTGGACTTGGTGATCTTGGAGGTCTTTTCCAACCTGGATAGTTCTATGGTTCTATACCAGCATTCATCATTGCTAAAATGAAAAGGGGTGAAAGAGTAATATCTCCAGCTAACAGTTGGCTTTGGTTCTGTCTGCTGGTTTGATCCTGTGGGGTAGGAAACCTACAGACCTACCAGAGCAGAGGATTTGGGGCTCTGAACTCTTTCTTGCAATTCCAAATTCATTTTTCTTCTGTCACAATAGTTCAAAACAAAAGGTGTTCTGGCACAAAGTGATTTTTCAGCAAACCAGTCCACAAGGCAACAATTGCTCAAAGCCAGAGACCCCCTCTACTGGGCCCCAGAACCTTGAACAGATGCCTCACCCCATTTTTGTGGATAAGCTTCATGGCCGGGCAGTAGAGAAAATGAAGAGAACCGGAACTGAAGGGTTTTCTGTTTCAGCTGCAGGGAATTGAAATCTGTGTGTTTGGGAAAAAATACCTAGAGCTGTATGGGTGCACAGAACTGCTTCCAGGTGGCTGACCTATCAACTGAGAGCTCAGATGTGAGCGGTCCCTCAAGCTCCTGGCCAACACCACTCCTGGAATCTCCTAAGGGTGATGCCTCCTGCACAGCTGCAGTCAGTAAGGCATGAAAGAAATAAGATGTGAAACAGTGTAATGTATGAAATACGAATGGCACAGCAGCCTTGGATTACAGCAAGTCCAGCTGAATGTCTGGTGGTCCCCTTTACTTTTATTTCTATTAATATTCCTCAAGCAACAGCAAAGATTGATTTGAAGTAGAGAGAACAGAGAGTCATGGGAGCTTCATTAGCATGCAAATCTGAGCGAATTCATTAGCCCTGCAACTGATGCTGATGCTCCTGGAAACTAGTAAAAGAGTAAAGTCTGCAGAAGTAAATCAGGCCTTGCTAATGAGCCTGTTAATAAAGCTTTTGTAAGCCTTTTCCAGAGCCAAAGTGACAAAGCACACTGTCAACATTAAACCTCCGGTACTGTGCCTTAGATGAGGGGCACTTTTTTTTCCCATTTCATGCTGGGGAAAAAAGCGGAGAACCGTAGCAAAGGTGGAGAATGAGACAAAAGCATTTACAATATTTCCTCATCAGAGATAGAAGTATTGTGTGGTTGCAGAAAAGAGACAGCATGACAAATGCAAGTGTGCAAATAAGATCTGTTTGACTGAAATTATATTTTAAAGAAAAACAGGAGACCAAATTTTTCATAACTGAGGTTTCACCTTCTGGCTGTATGTTCTCATTTTCCCTGTGCCTTATTAGGCATCATTTCAAGATTGCATTTCGTCTCATCCGCTTCTAATCGTGCAGCAATGCTTACAGCACGGATGCGGTGCCGCTGCAGCACCTCCTCATACATGTGGGTGCTTTGTGCTAAAAGCATTACTGCTTTCCAGGGGCTGTAGCAAGGCATCTCTTCCTCTATCTCCCATTTTGCTGCCACTTCAGGATGAGCAAAGTTGGAGATCTCTTTTCCTGGTATGTTCTCCAGGTGGGATGTACGGCCATGGAACCCACAGAGAGTGATGCTGGCAGCCAGCTCCTCTCTCCAAGGCTTCATGTGGCATCAGCATCACAGTGCACAGAAAAGCAGTGGGTCCGTCAAGATAAGGAGAGGCTGGGTTGCAATCTGCTTGGTTTCTTTTTGCAGAAATCTCTTTTGTAAAAGAGCCTGATGCGGGGAGGAACTGCTCGCTGCTTTCTCATCAAGTGGAAGAAGTGCTTTATGCAGTCTGATGGAAAACTACTGGAATGCTTTTCAGTTTCCCTCTCTAACCTTTAGTGCTTTCTGGTGCCTTACAGGGAACAAAACGTCAGACTGGAAAAAGGGGGAAAATATATAAAAATGTATTTGGAGATAATGGCGGGTAATACAATAGAAAATGCAGCCGGGCAATAAAAAGAGAGGCATCAAAAACACCACCAGAGAGTGGAAGGGAGGAAACAAGGCAAGGAAAATGGTAAAAGCGAGGAAATGAAGAGAAAATAGGCACTTGCATAATGGGGTGACGAAGGACAAGAAGGGGAGGAAGGGAAGGCAGGGCGGGAAGAAAGCTGGAGGAGAGGCACGCAGTGAGTGATGGAGCAGGGTCAGGGGCAGGCACAGGCAGGGAGGAGAAATGGAGTGGAAAGGAAGCAAAGGGAAGCAAAAGGAAGCAAAGCAAAGGTGGCAGCGCTGCTGACCTGTTTGCTTTTAGCTGCAGAGTGATGGCAAGTGCTTGTGTTAATAATGCTAAGGGCTGGCTGCCTGGGGGCAGGCGGAGCAGGGCTGGCAGGTGCCAGGGATGTCGTTCAATCAGCACAACGGGCTGTGCTGTGGCTTCTTGGACTGAAGGGAGGGGAAGGCACCAAGAGGTAGAGGGAGACAAGGTGGGAGGAAAGACCTATAGGGTGCCAACATGCCTGCCCTGTTTCTTTTAGTGCTGATAACCTGCCAACCTGCCAGAATCATATATAGAACAGTCATTAAGGTTGGAAGAGACCACTAAGATCATCCAGCCCTACCAGCAACCGATCATCACCACGCCCACTAAACCATATCCCTCAGTGCCAGATTTACCCTTTTCTTGAAAAAAAACCTTTTCTAGAAGGTATTTGCCTTATTGCCCTGTTCCTCCTGATGGCTGAGTTTGATTTGATGTGATACAGGAGATCTTTCTGCCCTGGCTTTCAAGCTCACCAAGATATTTTGTCCTGCTTGGAATCCCATAAGCACAGTGCCATAACACTTCCACTCAGCTGCATTTCTCACAGCTGATGCATATTTACGCTGCACAGCACTCAACGTGCCATGCTGTAGGTGCAGTCTCACTGGTGTCTTACATACCAGCTGCACCATCTGTTTGGATTCCTCTTTCTTTTGTATTACATCACAACATCACGTTTTCTTTCTTTCTTTCTTTTTTCTTTTCTATTTTTTTTTTCCTTCAGCTGCAAAAGCTTAGGGAACATTCCTACAATACCACCCTTCCAGCTTGGTTTAGTAGATATTTGGGCTCTTTCATTCTTAGCTGTCGAATTGCATTTGGTTATCAACATGCATTATATCTGTTGTCAATTAGCTGTTATCTAACACCATGAAATGACTTAACTCTTTCAGCATGCTATGTGATCTGTCCCCAACAAGAGCACCGCTCAGCTTATGGCAGCTTGCAGAGATCCAGGCAATTTTGTCACACTTATTTTTTTACTAGCACTCATTACAGCTAAAGGTCAGTTGTGTTTCCATTGTAAGCTCAGGGATAACAGCGCCGATCTGGCAAACCTTTTCTCATGTAAAGTTAACGGGATTATTTGCATAAAGATCCTTACTTGGGGAGTAATTTGCAGGATCACACTTTTAAAGCCCTAACCTTGGGAGCAAGGCAAAAGCTGGAACTTGGAACAGCAATCTTCCAAGGCTATATATTATCAGAGAAAATGATCAAAATTTAATGAGGAAAAAAAGGTACTTAATGGCTGTAGATAGCGTAATTTCAGCCATAAAAATGGGATGATCTTGTAATGCGCTGTGCTGCGGCCTTTCAAATCAATGCTAGCTCCAGTAGCAGCTTTAGTAGTAGCAGGGCAGCGATCTACAAGCTGTCGAGCAGAAGTCCTAACCTGCTGCTCCAGGCACACGGCAGCTCTGTAACTCTCAGTGCGATGGAGTGCCTGGGTGAGCGACTGGGGCTTCGTCCTCCATGAATCTGTGCTGCAAACCCTTGCAGGATGGCCGCTCCCAAGCAAACATAGCTACAAGCCACGCTGGCCCCGAATCAGGGCCAAAGCTCCGGGCATCCCAGGAGGGTTTTTCATCTGCTCTCTCAGCAAACATCAAGCATCAAAGCTTCACCAGCTCTGTTGTTTGTAATTCAGAAGAGTCCCTGGGCTCCAAGCCACCAGCCTGGAAGATCTGTTTACATTGTAAAATATATGCTAAATTGTAAGCCCTGGGACAATTAACAGAAGTCAGGTAAATGAAGCAACAGAGATGGAATGGGCTGAGGCCTTCACTTAAGCCTTGGGTGAATATCCCTATTGCATTTTCTTGAACAGCCCAAATAACAAGAGCTGGCCTTCACACCTGGGCTGCATCAGAGAGGCAGCAGCACTGAGATGGAGTTGGCCCTTGGAGAGGAAGTATTAGTTCTGGACAAAGGCGCTGCTTTATTTTCCCAGTGTACCAAAATTAGAGAACCCCCTGGTGCTAAATAATTTTGTTCTGCCTCGCTGTGAAAATTCCCAGTGTTCAATAGCCCTCCACAAGCTCTCATTTTATCCCCATAGTGCAGCTCTCCTGTGGTTATATGTCAGCTGCTGCAGTGGTAAACATGTACACACTACTCATTTAAGAGCTTTTAAAAGACTTCTCACTGTGCCCAGAAATTACACCTGTGCTTTCTTACTTACCCATGCTGTTGTCTTTGTTTCTCAGGCTATATTAAGCCTTCCATTCTTCCCCCTTTGAAAGAGTGGGAGAGTATAAACATCTTTAAGTTCTGGCTTTCTCTCTATTGGGTTGTACAGAGGGACAGAGCCAGTAAATATGGACAGAGGGAAAGGCAGAGGGCTGCGTGCAGTAGGGCTGGCAGATGATGCCTGCTCCTCCTGAAGGCACAGAACACGCACAGGAGCTCCATGGTGTTGACTGAAATCCCTGTCAGCTGCAGTGCTCAACTTCCTCGGGATAGTGACCTGTGCTATTCTGACTGTGTCTTCTGTATCCATGGATGATGAAGAGAGACAGAGCACACGGTGCTCGGAGGAGCTGCATCCGCAGAGGGGAAGGTACATGTCACAGTGTAATGAGGCATTGGCCTCCAGTGAACTTTTCCATCACAGGAGAATATTTCAATGTTAAAGATGATTTGCTACAAACAAGAAGGAGAGGAGACGTGGTAGTAACATAAAATGCCATATCTAAGAGATTGTTCAATCTCTTTGCACTGCTAAAATGAGAGAACTGAAGTAGAGGTTTCTGCTGACATCGCTGCTCAAATTCTCTGTCCAAGATTTTGTGGGGAAACTTCCACTGAAACAAAAAGACCAAATACATATCTTTATATGTGAAACTACTTAAATATCTTAAATATCTACTACTTAAATATCTCTGATAAGCTAACAGAGCTTTGGATGACAGGAATTTTGACCTATGAAGCTTTCTGAGTCAAGGAATGACTAAGAAAATAACCCAAAGGCTCTGGAAGTGGCAGTCTGGGCCATGTTCAGTACCTCCCCACAAATGTTAACCACAAACCTTCACTCCTCCATCAGATCCCACACACCCTGAGCATACGAATGCATTTTTAGCAGCTTCTGTGTGCTGCCTTAATTGGATCCTTGTGGGATCCTTCAAGATAAAAATGCCCATTCTTAATTAAAGAAATGATCCTCTTTTGGCTAGGGCTGTTTGGATATTTGGTTCAGAACATAATTTAATGTACCTTGAGCAGGAAAATTCCTGACTGAACTTGAAAGTTGACTGAATTTATCTGATTCAGCCCAACCCAGTGGCTCTACCATAGGAGCCCCCAAGCATACATCATGGTGGTGGCTGCTATCTAGTCTGGATCCCAGTGTCAGCAGGTCACCATCTTCCACAGATCTTTATGTACTTTTTAAATGGGATCAGATCCAACTTTTTCCCACGCTACACCCAGATTGCAATGGCTTCACTGGGTGTCACTGCTAAATATCTGCTCGTGTGCCTCTGCTAAGAACCTTTTCTTAGAGGTTTATCCATTACAACTAATACATCATAAAACTCTTGCTCTGTATTTCACAAATGTTAGAACAATGCCCCAAGGGCATTGGCAGTAATTATGTTTACATCTTCAGAAATGCCTTCCACCCCCTCTCCCCCCCCCCGTCGTTCAGTGCAGCTCTTGAACCTTTGAATGGTACATTGGGAGTATCAGCACGTCTCCTCTCGAGCGCAGATCCTGCCTCTCCATTCTGCAAGTGAAATTATCTCTGTATGTCTGCACCCATGAAGTGCACTTGTGCTTCCAACTTCCTCAGACTGTCAGACAGTTTGCTGTGCCACTGCTCCTATTAACGCCTGCAATTAGCACTGACAAATGCATTGTTCCCCCTGCTCCCCAAACCACACTTCCTTGACTTTTTAGAAAACCCCAGAGCAGTGTAATATCTCCCTGGGTCATATTTCAACAGAACAATGAGGGTAGTGAGGCATGACAGTGATCTTTTTTCTAAACCTATTCTGAACATCCTTAATCAAGCTTTGCTTTTTAAAAAAAGAATGGGCCTAATTCTCTTTAGGCCTATGGTATATTCATGCTTTGTAATTCCATCAAGCTGTATCTTCAGCTCCTCTAAGGTGGCAGAACTCGTTTGACTTCACTTAAATTCCAGGAAGATTAGTAATGGCTGAAGACTTGGGCTGCTGGTTTCCAAACTATTCCTCATCTATGCCAGTTTGAAAGGATAATGAGTCCCAAGGTTTGTTTTTGTTTTTCTGCCATTAGATCAATTAAAACAATTGAAACAATTGAAACAATTAAAACAATCTCTAACTCATTTAAATCAAATGTTGCACAAGATACACCCAACAGCTGTTATTTCCCTGAGGTGTTGAGCCTTCTCCATTCCTATTCCATTACAAAGCTCTGACACCCAGTAGCTCCTGCAAGCATGCACAAATTTCCCTAAAGGCCCTCATTCCAAAAAAACCAGGCCGTTCTTTTTTTTGTTCTCCACACTAGATGTGGTCTCCCAGGATGGAGCCACATGATGACATACAACCATGGGTGGATTACTCTGGCTCCAGGAGGAACATATGTAGATACTTCAGTGTGTCCCATCCACAATCAACAGATACAGAACCCTCAGCCACTTCACTTTGCAGAGTCCTGAAATGCAGTAATTATGTTCTGTTTTCCTCTTTCCCTTCATTAATTCCTATATTCAGCTGTTGTGCATTCGCTGGCAGCAGCCAGTAGCTACAGCTCTGGGATAGCCACAGGCAGGTAACAAAAGTGAGGAGGATGGAGTCAGCACATTTCTTTCTGGTGTCATGGAATTTGTCTTTGGTAAGATCATGGGCACTCTGAAATGCAAGAAAGATGTGAATCAAGAAAGATGTGTTGAAGGACTGCTGGCTGCAAGTCCATCCCCAGGATCAGAGAGCACATATTTATACTTTAGGCACAGTGGTTTGTCTGATAATAGATTGACGTTTAATTTAGGTACAGACTCGGTGATAACTGAATCCCACCTGGGACTTCTGGGAGCAGAGCAGGGCAAATAAATGATGATGTCTGTAGCTGCAGATAGAGATGCTGTTACTAACTCCAATACTGCAATGGGTAAAACTGCACACAGGCTGACAGATGAGAGATTTCATTGGCTTCAGATGCAAGAATAAAGAAAATAAAACTTGAAATGAATTTTCTTGGATAGAAGTGGCCACGCAGGAAGTTTCAATATTCATAAATCCACTCTGTGGATCCCTCTGGTGGCTGCACCCAGTGCATCAATACAGCAATCAGGACTGTGGCAACTGAGCTTTTGTGGCATATTGCACCATGCAAAATACAGACACCTACCAATGCATTTTGGGAACTCCCACACGATGATCTTCTACACACAGATTCACTTCAGCTCTCTGGCACTCTCAAAGCTGTAAAACCGATTGCCACAAAATGCTTCACTCTTTCCAGTTGTGCTTTGATGTCTTCATTATCTGGAGACTCCAGAGCAGGGCCATTTCCCCCAGATCAGCTAAAACATGATCAGATTTCTAAGTGCTTCATGTCTGTGCTGTGTTTGGGGCTTGGCTACACAGGTCAGAAGAACGTGGTGTCATTCTTTGTGGAGGACAAATCCTGGCATTTCATGTTTCTCTTCCTATAGGATTATTGCCATCATTCACTGCCTGGTACATGCTGTATGCTTGGTGGTACGAATCATTGCTCCTGACCCTGCCAACGACATTAACAGAGAGAACAGCGTGCTTTTGTACAGTTGTTTCCTCTCAAATGCTGTTCAGCCTCTGATAATGATTCAGATGAGTAAATCGGCACAGTTTTATGGAGGGCTGGAGTTGTGCCAGTCATGACTTGCTAGTTTTTGCAGCGTTTACAACAGCAGTGTTTTTCTCCCTCAGTGAGAAGCCTTTCCCAAGATGACTCCAGACCTGGAGAAGACAGCGAGTGCTTACCACGGGGGGCTGTACTGGAGAGGTAAGTGCTCAAGCCAATACCTGTTCTCTGGGGAAGTTAATGCAGCATCCTCCCTCCATCTTCTCCCCAAATCTTTGGTTTCTCTAAAACATCAAGAGATATTTTTGGTGTTGTTTTCAATTTTGATGTGACTGCTGACCTATAAAAGAGAAGGACCAACTATGACTGTAAATCCACGACTGTTTTATGTTTGCTTCAGCTTGATTCAGATATCACACCATGAGGTGTATATCAGAACTGAGTAATTATAGAGGAAACGAAGAGGTTCCCTTAGGTCTACATTTTCCTGCTGCGTGCTGAAGTGCCATCAGTGCTCCTCTCCAGGAGGGCAGGAATTCTCCAGGGCATTAACTGTTTTCTGTGTGAGTTTGATACATTTGCCAAAACTTGCATTTCAACATGCTGGTTCATGAAATCAAGAGCAGAAGGACAGTGCCTTTCCTCTCCCCACTGTATGTGATGGTTGAACTCGTAGAAATAAAAGAGTTCTTGAAAAACGCTCAGTGAATCTACATAATTAAAAATCTTTCCTGCTAGGGGTTAATGATTTGGGTAGATTAACTTGATAATGTAATGTAAAACGTCGAAATCAAGAGTCTGTATCCTGAAATACTGGTGTAGCTCAGTGATGGGAGACAGTTTTAAGTAAATAACCGGAGAAAGTATTTTGCAATTAAATTAAAGATGTTTCCAAACTACTGTACTTTGCCATAAAAAAAATGTCATCTTGAAAAGTCAAGTTTCATTTATTTTAATTAGTGCTGTCATGAAGTATTCCATTTGGCACACGCTGACTAACGAGCCCTTTTCCAGACACCAGTTTGAAAAGTGTGCATCAGAAAATGATCACAGCCCGTTCCCATGGTGTCTGTGGGCCAATTGTCAGCTAATTGAGACCTGCCTTGCTCCACCCAAGTGGCATCCAGGTTGGTCTATGGGGAGAGAAGAGCTTTCATCCCCTGGATTTGCCTTGTGGGAGGTAATGCAAAGCTTGCTGCCATCGGTCAGAAGATTCCTGCTGTCTTCAGGGAAATTCAGGTTCAAAGATGCTGAATCTCCACTCCCCTTCACTGTTCTCACACTGAAGTTATTTAAGGGGAGAGGGATTGGTATCAAATTGATGGAAAGCCAAAATGATCTTGATCCTCCTCTGAGACATGCTGTTGAATTGCATTATATATAAGCAGAGAAGCTTTTCTATTATTAATAGGATAGAAAATCAGAACCATCAAGGAAAATTATATAAGTCCTATTAAGATGGATGAGTTTGAGTTATGTCCACATGTTTGCAAGAAGATTGTTCTCTGCAGCTCCTACAACAGTGTATTGTCCTCCCAAGGGGAGACCTCACCGGGGTGGGAGAGTACCAGGGGAAATGCTGTTAACTTCTCACAGCCCAGTGGGCAGCTGTGTGGGCAACGAGCACAACTATGCAGGCACCAGGCTGCCCCAGAGGATGCTCTGCACCAGGGTGAGAAGCCTGGGCCAGCCCCCCAGGAGCTGACCTCCCTTGTGATCTTCTGCTTAAATCCCTCTCTCTGTTGTCTGCCTTGTTTTCAGACCTGCCAAATCTTGCAGTTCCTTCTGCATGTCCAATGAGGGGATTATTTTGCAAGCTTAAATCTCCCTACTAAAAAAAGAAAGTTACACTGATAAATACCTGTTGTCTACACATTGAGGCTGGTGAGGAATAAGCTGAAGTGTGAGTGTGAAGGGCACTGTCAGTTCTGCAGAAATGGCTCTTATTTCACCAGGCTAATGTCACATCCAGAGAGCTCACAGCAGTCTTTGAGCAGGTATCCTCTGGGGAGCGAGTGAGAAGCAGCTATTCTGAGCTGTCCCCTTATTTAAGTAAGCCACATATATAAAATCTGATGATTCCTTATTAATTTCATCCTATTGCTCCTTGCTAAAGCCCCTTGTTCCACCTTAATTTATCCCTTCTGTTCATTAACACAGTTCAAACATTTCCCTTCCTAGCCAGTTAGCCACACTTTAATCTCACCTGGTTACTCATTCATCAGAAACCAATCTCTCCTTCCCCTCCATCAGCTCAGCACCACCTCCAGCATGCGTGCTGCTAATGAGCAGGACTGAGCACAGGGATCCTGGTGGCACTCACCAAGGGCTGCTTAGCATCACTCGTCCCACACTTGCAGACCCTTCCCCAACCCTTCCCCTGCACTTCCATCACTTCCAAATGCAAAATGAAGGGTTGTTTTCCTCCTGCTGTTTCCTTCACATATCTTTTCTCCATTACTGTCATTTTGGGAGGAGTACAGGTCTTGCAGAACAGCTTTGTCTGGATAATAATAATTTTAATTTCCACTTTCAGAAGCTCCTCTTATCTCCTACCTGTGTGTAACTGATTGAGTGATCAGAACCTTCCCCTAGCACATCTCTGCCAGTTTGGAAATCAGCGAGAGTGCACTCTGCACCTGTAAGTGGGTCTTAATCCAAACATTTTATGCCTGAAAGCATTCAAGTGCTCAGACGATGCTCCCACCCCCCAGGGAAACACGTACAGACCTACCCTGTGTCTTCTACAGCAACAGTGTGACCCTGCTATCTACATGGCCCCCTGCATCTGATTTCATCTCCACTATTAATCTGAGGTCTTTGTAAAGGTTTGTTAGGTTTTGTTAGGTTGTAAACCTTTGTTAGTTTGTCTTTTGCTGTTATTCTCATGCTGAGAGTTTCTAATGCTCTCAGCACCCCGATCAGCTTTGTAGCCCCTTTACTTGGATGATGCTGGGCTATGACATCTTTCCTTCAAGGATGGTGTTACAGAAGCAATGGGTGGGCTGATGGGCATGCAGGAACCTAGAGCAAGCTGAGTGTCAGGTCTGGAGCCCAGAGGATTATTTTCTTGCCTACTCCTTAAGAAAACATCGCAATCTCTTTCTGATTTGGCATGGTCTCAGACTCCAGCCAAGCAATCCTTCCTGCCCTTTCTGCACTACTTTACACTGGTGCCTTTTCACCTTTCTCTGTGAGGCTGCATTTGTCAGAGGGCAGAGCAGAACTCACTCTGTGTGGTCTCCTCTGCCTCCAGCAGCAAGCACTCGCTCACCCGCAGAGGGGGCACGCTGGGCTGGTGATTGCTCTGGTCTCTTCTAGTCCTGTGTTCTTACCCTTTCCCAGTTTGATTTGCTTATGTTTTGCAATCACAGGGCTATTCTCAGTATCTTTTATTCTGTGCCTGGCTCCCATTAATGGTGTTTTTCTGCTCTTCCATTATTTTCTCCATACGGGGGGGAACCTTACCTTCCCCCTTAATATCTTCTGCTAGAGACCACAGCTGCCAATATCTTCTCCTGTCCAGTTTCTCATACAAGTCTAAAAAGCAGACTCGATTGGATGCTCCTGCCCTGCACTTCTCATGAGCTATTTCTCAGGGTATGGGCATCTCTGCCTTTGTCAGAGCCAAGACAGCACGAGCTGATTTCATTTCTCCCAAGTAAGGATGGTCTGAACTATCTGTGGCAATGTCAGAGATCAGGAGGAGAAGGAAAGAGCTGGGGCAGTGGAAAGGAGACCTGGTGATAAAAGAAATTGGTGAGATGACAGCAAGATGAGCTGTGATCTAAGCCCTCCTCATACCTTGTGTTTTTATATGTACACTCAAAACATATTTCAGGGATTGAGCGTGTTTTCTCCTTTCTGGAGATCTATTTTGTCATTACTTTAGCTGACAGCAGCTGGGGAGAATGAAACACTTTGGTTAGCCTCAAACACCTTGCTAAGTTTCCTTAGGTTGAAGCACCGCTGTGTTTCATTGCGGCTGACACCAATCAAAGCAAATGGACAAAAGTGAGCATTATGATTTTGGATCTGTGAAATGAAGGGAATAAGTGAAGGGAATTTGGACTCACTGTACAAAGGAAGTCCCAGGAAGAGGTTCATTTTATCAACACCATTTGCTTTGGGGGCGGCTCTTTTACAAGCAATTCTGCCTCTTCTACAAAGCTGTTGTGGCAGTCGGTGCTTGGCCCCATCTCTGCCCCTGGATTTTGTGATGCAGACAAGGTCATGGGATAGTGGTGCTGGGTCAACAAATAAAAGGAAAACAAACACTGAAGCTGTCCTTCACAAAAGATTGATCATTTGTAAGTCTGACCCCAATAGGATTAAATTGTTGTATATTTGCTCTGAGATGTCACCTATGGTCCACAGCAAGTTATTGCCTCATCATACTAACTGGGGTACAGTGACAAAAAGCTATTGTGAAGATGCTGCCAGAGGCAAGAGAAACAAGCCTCTGTCCTGTCAGCAGGTCCCAGCCCAGCCCTCATTGCTCTAAATCATCTCAGAATATCCTCACAAGGCCTTGAGCAACAGGAAAACATCCCAAGACATCAGCGATCAACCTCAGTGGGGGATGGGGAGGTTCATGTTGGATATTACGAAAAAATCCACCTCTGAAAGAGCAGCAATCCAGTGGCACAGCTGCCCAGGGAGGTGGTGGAGTCATCTTCCCTGCAGGTGTTCAAGAACTGCTGAGATGTGGCACTGAGGGATGTGGGCAGTGGGCAGGTGGGAATGGGTTGGGGTTGGCCTTGGTGATCTTAGATGTCTTTTCCGACGCTAATGATTCTATGATTCTATTGATGGGAAGAGTGCAGGGATCAACCCTGCAGCAGCCATGGGGAACTGCAGCGGGGCTGCAGCAAACACCTCTGTTGATGTGTTCATGTGAAGAGAAGTGAGAAATGTTTGCAATGGCATGCAAAACTGTTTGAAATTCATAGTCTGTCACAGCCCATTGTGAATTCAAGAACAAACCTTTCTTCAAAGGAAATGTTTGTGATGGCATATCATGAAAGAACAGGCCACTTTCTAGCAAAAATGGTGAGGCATGCCTGCTCCTGAGTGAGGCTTTGATAACATGAGCCCATTTTCCATGGCTTTGGCGTGAAAAACACAGAGAAGTGCACACTGCCCAAAGTCTGCACTGAAAACAGCCATGTTGTCAAAGAAACCAGAAGAATCATAGAATC